TATGTCTATTAGGCTGGCTAGGTTGATCAAGTTGTTAAAACCTCCATATATTTACTGAATTCCTTGTCTGCTTGCTTTATTGATTATTGAAAGGTGTTACAATCTCTCAAAGTGGTTATAGGTTTGTCTTTTTCTCCTATTAGTTTTTTGCTTTATATATTTTGAGGCTCTGTTTTTAGGTGCACATAAATTTAGTTTCACCAAATCTAGACATACAGATTTCAGGCCTCCACATTTCCTAGTTGGATGATTCTGTCTAAAACATTAGCCCTCCCTCTTTACTATGATGTTGTAGGTGATATAGGTAAAAGCAACTTGTAAACTAACTTCTAGATGAAAATGTAGCTTTATACTCTGCAGTTCATTGCTTTACATCTGCAGAATGGTTTCACAGATATTTTCTCATTTATTTTATACTGTAAATGTACAGGAATTATCTCCATTTTATAGATGTCATTGCTGCAAATATAGAACTGCAGAAATCAACTATGAGTCCAGGATTCAAAGTCTGAGTTTTTCTGTTTTTACTATAGCTGCCTCATACAGCATGGCATTATTGGCATTCCTATGACATTAGAATTTCATGCATTCAGGCACTTGAGAACATTGCAGCTACAGCCAAAGTTCAGCATCCTCTGTGGAAGAAAATTACCAAGCGTAGCAACCAAATCCACCCATCTGTGGCTTCACACAATTAAACTTTGCAAATTTGGTTCTGGTTCTCTGCCAATACATTGACAGCTTTTATTGAATACACAGTGAATCAGGCTCTTTGTGGGAAAACAAAAGAATTAGTAGATGTGCTCTTTACCAAACACATTTAGGAAGTAACATATGAAGTTATGCAAATAAATAAATGTTTAGCACGAGGACAGAGGGGGAATGAAAAGGAATTATAAAAGTCAGGAGGATATCTGAATTTTTTAATAGAGTGTTTTTTTAAATGTTGGGTTATGTATTGGTGATGATAGAAAATACTAAGTTATGAAAATTCCCAGAACTTCCAATAAACTTAAAATTTTCATATTTAAATCTTGCATGTTTTAACACCTCTGAAATTTGTATTTATTCTATAATTGATGGTATCTTAGCATTGTGTTGCAGATTGACTGTTTCTTCTTTCTTAGGGGTACCCAAAATAATTATGTATCTTATCATTGATGACATCTTAAAGTCAATAAAATATGATATATTAAAGTATTCCAGAGATTTTTGTAACCCTTTCTGTTGTTCCATTATTTATTGATTGACTTGTTCATTTATCCAATAATATTTATTGAGCACCTATACCTTACATCAGGTGCTAGACCAGGCACTAGGATGTTAGGGATTGAATTGTGTAATCCACCCTGCTCCCTACACCCATAAATATGTTGAAATCTCAACCCCTGATGCCTATGAACATAATCTTATTTGGAAATAGAATCCTTGCAGATGTAATTGGTTAACATGAAGTCGTATTGGAGTAGGATGGGCTCTAATCCAATATGACTGGTGCTTTTATGAAAAGAGAAGAGACAGGTAGAGAGACTCCAAGGAAAGCCAGCCATGTAAAGACAGAGACAGAGAGTGAAGTCATGCTGGCTGTCACAAACCAAGGAAGGCATGGGGCTATCAGAAGCTGAAAGAGACAAAGAAGGACCCTGCCTCTGAGATCTACCCTGGAGTTTTGAAGAGAGCTTGGCCTTGTCGACACCTTGAATTCAGACTTCTAGCCTCCTGAGCTGTGAGACACTAAATTTCTGTTGCTTAAAGCCACCCAGCTTGTGGTACTTTGTTACAGCAGAGCAAAAAAAAAAAAAAGAAACTAATAACTGTTGTTAAAGACTCTATCACCTCTGCCTTCACAATACTCTTCACCCTACAAAATCATCTTGTTTATCTATTTGTTTACTTATATTCAGCCGGCCTTCTCTCACTAGCATGTCAGGCACTTGAGAACACTGCAACTACCGCAAACAAGGTTAAACTTCCTTTCTTGAAAGAAATTAATACACAGACGCGTTGCTGTCAAGTTGATTCTAACTCATAGCAACACTCTATGAGTGAACTCTGCCCCATGGGATTTCCAAAGCAGTAATCTTCACCGAAGCAGACTGCTTCATCTTTCTTCTGTGGAGCAGCTGGTACATTTGAACCACAGCCCTTCCAGTTTGCAGGTGAGTGCTTTAACCACTGCACTATCAGGGCTCCTAATACACAGGGCTATGTTAAAAAAAAAAAACAGGGAATTTTTATACAGGCTTATAGTTAGTGAGAAAAATGGAAAAGTAAAAGGGAGGTAAGTAAATACTCTGTTGGTACAGTAATAAAGAAGCACGGTACAACAGGACAGATGGGAAGGGTATTTAAGATTTAGGGGTCAGGGAATACTGTTGTGGCCATTGGGCGATTCCACTCATATTAACCCTAGCCAAACACTTCAGGGAACATTGTTGCTGTTGTTGGTGTTATGTGCCGTTGAGTAGGACCTGACTCATAGCGACCCCTTCTTGGATTTCTGAGGCAGTATCACTACAGAAGTAGATTGCCCCATCTTCCTTCCAAGGAGTGGCTAGTGGGTTTGAACCGCCAGCCTTCTGGTTAGCAGTCAAGTGCCTTAGGCACTATGCTACCCTTAGTTAGCAGCTGAACACTTTAACCGTTGCACCACCACAGATCTTTAGAAAGATATGGTGTTGTTGGTGTTATGTATTATCAAGTCAGACCTGACACATAGCAACCCCTCCTTGGGTTTCTGAGGCGGTATCACTATGGAAGTAGATTGCCCAACCTTTCTTCCAAGGAGTGGCTGGTGGGTTTGAATCACCAGCCTTCTGGTTACCAGTCAAGTGCCTTAGGCACTATGCTACCAGAGCTCCTAGAAACGCCAGAAATAGAGAATAGAGAGCGTATAAAGCAAAGTGGTTTTAGACAGAAGAGAACAGATGCAAAGGCCCAGGGCAGAAGTTGCAGAGAGTAGACTATTTCCAAGTAATTGATAGCCCATTGGAATACAATTCATTATTCAAGGGTGTTCACAATTCTTTTAAGACAAACATTCAATATGTCTGGCAAGGTCATGGCGGACATCAGGGATGGGTGTATAAAACTCCTTGAATCTAATATGGATGTTGTGTGTAGGTATGAATCTAATATAGTTTACTGCATTATTCAGAGTTTCAAAGTGAGTTGGTCCTTTCAAACAAAGTTCCAAATCACTCCTCTAGGGTCTCAAAAAGGAGAACAAATAAATTGAAAAGGAGATGTCAAGTGGTGTTCATCAGTTGTATTCAGTTGGTGGCTGAGCTAGTCAGGAGAGTTCAAGAACCCTTCACTCATATCTACTTCCTAGGTGGAAATAACTGAAAGGCTCAAAGTGACAGGAAGTGGAAATCACTAGAATCTTAAGGCTGTGCCTGCAAACTGCACCATTGATTGTTGTTAGGTGCTGTTGAGTAAATTTTTGACTCATAGTGACCTCATGTGACAAAGTAGAATTGTCCCATAGGATAGGAAGCTCTGGTGGCATAGTGCCTAAGGCATTTGACTACTAACCTGAAGGCTAGTGGTTCAAACCCACTAGCCACTCCTCGGAAGGAAGGTTGGGCAATCTACTTCCATAGTAATACCACCTCAGAAACCCAAGGAGGGGTTGTTATGAGTTGGATCTGACTCCAGGACAGTGAGGTTTTCTTTTTTTAATCTTTACAGAAGCATATCACTAGGTCTTTCTCCCATGTAGCTGCAGATCACCAGGCTTCCAATTAGCACGGTAGAGCTTAACTGTTGTGCCACCACGAGAAGAGTCAGAGGCCTTGTCTCTCAATGGGAGAAGTATCAAGGAATTTGTAACCATCTTTAATTACAGAAGTAATAAAATG